TAATGAGGTAAGTACATTGCAGGTGGTAGTTTAGCCTGTCTAAACTACAAAATAACGTATGTTGTTATGGATATTTTTACCGCACCCATTTTTTATTTTTTTAATGATATTAAAGTTACGTGACCAACAAGTCGTTCGCCTGGTGTTATGCGACACGTCTGACCATGGCATTTACAGTGTTACTCAGAGCTTCAAATGCTTACTTCTTCAGGTTTCTACTTGCATATGGTTTCCGAAAGCTGCCATTGCTAATGCGATACGGTGGTTTCTTCCGAAATCAAGGTCGCACATTGATGTGATAGTGCTGCCTAAGTACTTAAACTTCTCCACCTGCTTCAGCTGCAAGAAATATCTCAATCGCAGTATTGACACCATGCCATAACTTGAGATTTGGCCGCACTAATATTTAGACCGAATCGGAAACAGGCTTCGTGAAGATCTGATAACAAGGTCTAAAGTCGTTTAGAGCGTGTTATGAATACGCGATCAAATCAAAATACAATGTCAAGTACGAAGCTTCATTTTTGACCGACTTCAAAAAAAGGAGTAGGTTCTCAATTCAACTGTATTTTTTTTGTATGTTACGCGATAACTCCGTCTTTTGTGAATAGATTTTGATGATTCTTTTTTTTGTTGAAAAGAGGGTACATAGTGGTCCCATTTAATTTTGAAGAAAATCATCCACCTCTAAGGGTGGCTGTTCGCGCATGAAAATTCATTTTTATAAATAGTGCCTAAATTTTATTATAAGGAGCAATTATTTTAATGGTTGATTTTGCTATTCTCCAATTCAAGGCGTTTTTCTCTCTCAATATACTTTGATTATATTGAGAGAGAAACGCCTCCTGTGTCAAGTTTCGTATAGTGGCGAACTAAGGGGTGAATTCGGGTTTGCGCACTTTCCGGTAACCGATTTCCTTGTAATTCCACGTACTTTTGAGGTCCGTTATTTAGTACTCTGTACTGAGATTATCATCGTGCGTCTTTTCATTCATTCAGTATTACTTAATTGACAGTAATTGTTTCGGACGCGTGTCGGAGAACAAGAGTAGATGCCCAGGTCTTAGATGAAAACTAAGAAATATAGAACAAGGAAATGTCACTCAACATATTCAGCATACTTCTAGTGTAAAAGAAAACTGAAAACAAGATGGCAAGGTTATTAAATGAAAATGTTTTTATTTGTTAAATAAAAATATATATATTTGTGAATTGTATGTTGAAATTTAGACTAAGTAATATACTTATCTATTGAAAATAATGTCCATAATGGTGGACATAATTTTTAGTTCAGTTTGGTTAAGTTAACACCTGTATTGTACTGACTATCTCACTACAATCTACACTTTTCACTTTAAGTTCAGATTTTGGATTTTGATGTACTAATGTGGAGCAAAAAAGAGAATAGTATTTTGAACGGATTATTCGTACCGGAACGTAATCGACATTAAATGTTACATTATAGTTTACCCCATTTACGGTTTGTTTCTTAGCCTCAACTATAAAAGAAAATATGTACTTTTCCTTTTTACCAAACTTGTATACCTTTAAAGCTGCTTCACAAACGCGTATAGCGTCAGCGTCATTTCGATTGCCGATTTTCTCCCACTGACCGACACTTAGTGTCTGAAACAAGTTTTTAAAATTGTGCACAAGCATTTTATTGACCGATATAACTTCATTGCCCAATTTGAAGTGAGTTATGATGAACAACTCATCAAGTGCTTTATTTAACAAGCGGCCATCGAAATTAAATATTATTTCCCTTCCATTTTAGCTTCGTATACCTCTAAATCTGCTTTGGTAACGCGTACAATTTCATAAACAATATGACAGTTGATTCTCTTCCATTGACCAACCGTTCAACACTACAACGATTCAACGAAATTAAAAGTATTACGTTACAGAAAGATCATTTTTTTAATAAAATGTAAGTGCGCATTTGACCTCCATCTCACCTGCTGGAAAGTGACGATGAAGGCGACAATGGAGCATGCACATCTAAATAAAGCCTTTTTACTCTCGCCTTGAAAAGGCCCAAGTTATAACGTTTAGGGAACAAGTCTGCTGGCAGGGAATTCCACTCCATAGCCGTTCGCCACTTAAATGTGGAAGCGTAACACTTCGTGCGAATCTTTGGAATATCCACAACATAGGGGTGGAACCCAAGCCTACGCCTAGTCCCCCGTTGATGGAAAGGGGAACGCGGTATTAAATAGGGTAATTCCATCGCACACTCTCCGTGCTATACCCTGTAAAATACCGATAAGCAGGCAACTTTGCGGTGGTGTTCAAGGCTCTGCAGCTTCGCCTTCACTAATTCTGAGCTTCATTTTCAATTGAATACAAGGTGATTGTTGACTCCAATAACCTCAAGACGGCGTGACAGTATCGTACAAAGTCGTTTCAGATGTGTTACAGACAACACTCTTGTAGAGAATCCTTTTTACATCTAATGATTTCAAAACAGTAAAGGGAATTTACTTACATATATGTAATGAGATAAAATGAAGAATATCAACTGAGTACTAATAAACCGTATTTTCTTCATGGTCGCTGTAACGACGTGTTAATCACTAAATTGAACAATCACCATGCTCTATTTAAACTCGTTTAGTATCACTCGGATCAATCGATTAAAAATACGCTATGGTTACAGAAATAATAGGCAATATACAGGCTACTTTTATATGTATTAGCAAATAGGGTAATAAACAATCTATACAGGTTTGGAGGATTCACTGTTTAATTCTTTTTGTTTCTCTTAATTATGATATATTAATATTATTTTAATAGTTACTTTTTTAATAATAATAATTAATTCAATGTAGCTATTTAAGTTCGAAATCATTCTCTCTGTCTGACACCCGCTATAAATAGTTTCCCTAGTGCGGGGCTATTGCGTAGGTAAAAACAATTCAAACTGGCCACCGAGGTTGTATAGAGTGACCACTTAATATTTTTTATTACTTTATTTGCTAATACGTAGTGTAACAGTCATTCTATACTTGAACGCAACATTAATTATTGTACTCGAACGTAACTTCTCTCGAACTGTCACTTTTTTGCGGCGCCACAAGAAAACACCTTTGGCTAAGATTGGTATCGAGGAAAATTGAAGATCTTCTTGTAATCCTCCATAGTTCAGAGTTGGGATTACCACAAAAATATATTATTTATACGAAGTCAAAAGCCAGCATTGAAGTTTTCAGGACTTTTTTTAGCCTGTTCGGATTTCCATCCCGCGTCATCACTGACAGAGGGACCAGTTTTACGAGCAAAACATTTAAGATATACATGCAATCTGGGGGAATAAAACATATTATCCTCACTTCAGTTGCGACACCGCGTGCCAATGGCCAGGTGGAGCGATATAATCGAACGGTCCTGGCCTCATTAGGCAGCATGACTCACGGGAAAAACGATGACGTGCAGCTAGGCATAAATTCGACAATACTTGATGTCATAAAAAGGACGCCTACTGAGTTGCTGTTTGACCGAAAAGTAGCAAACCCCTCGCAGGGTATTTAGAATAATGTGTCTGATGAAATCGGTAACAGCGAAAGTAAAAATAACATCGAACAGATTAAGATCGGAGGCAAAGGACCTTACTGACATAAACCAGGAGAAAAACAAGGAGAACTTTGATAAACACTACAGTTGATAAAAGCTGCTACAAAATATAGAGAAGGTGATCTAGTAAGAGTAATTAGAGCTATTGTAGTAGGGTCAGGAAAATCTAAGAAACTTGAATCAAAATGTCAAGGACCACACAGGATTAAAAAGATCCTCCCCAATGACCGATTCCTTATTGTAGATACACCCCTCACGTATAAAAGAAAAGGTATGAGAACATTGTCTGTAGGTAAAATATTCCTTTGGATGAGTTCTGATGATTTTTCGTTTGCTTGTTACTCGAGTGAAGAAAGTGATATTCAAATGGAGTGAAAATACTTAATCATAATATTTGTCTACAGTCTACACACTACAACTAATAGCACTTAATAGTTTTATTTAGTATCTTAATTCAAGACGTAGTCAATGGTAGTATCTAGTAGCATTAACCGAATTATCTGTGACTTACGAACTAATTTATAATTTTAACTGCCTCCGTGGCCGAACGGTTACCATGCCGGACTGCCACGCAGAGGTCCCAGGTTCGATTTCCGGGCCGGGAGAAATACTTGTATGGCCTACATTTATTTCTCTCGTGAGTTTGGGTGTAATTTGTGGTTGTCTATGTGTGTGTCCATGGCACCCGCGACACAGGGTTTCCCTAGTGCGGGGCTATGTTGATTGTGAGCGTTATTATTATTATTATTATTATTATTAATTAACTTACTGTGATTTCTTTGATAAATGAATATGTTAAGAAATAAAATAATTTTAAGTGATAAGTGGTATTTTAATAGGGCAAGAGTGGCAAATATATCGCCGCCCATACGTATTATATAACATAATGATAATGATAAATAATAACTTTTCGTTGAATAATAAAGTGGGGATGTCGCTAACATATGGCATGCGTGGCAATGATTTCGTCGCCCAGGAGTGTCACGACATGCAGCTTACGACATCGCTGTGAGAGGTGAAGGAAATAGCCTCTCTGTCGAGCTATAGAATAGATATGACTTTATATATATTTCATTTTGTTTTATTAATATTTTTTTTCTTTTTCTGGTAAACGAAGGGACGTTATGTAAAGGATGGCCGACTATAACAGTCATTCTATACCTGAACGCAACATTAATTATTGTACTCGAACGCAAATTCTCTCGAACTGTCACTTTTTTGCGGCGCCCGAAGAAAACACCTTTGGCTAAGATAACGAGGAAAATTTAAGATCTTTTTGTAAACCTCCATAGTAGATATAAAAGTAACCACTGCAGAACCCCTGTACATTAGCCATTATTGCTGTGACTATAGCGCATTTAATCGATTAATACCAGTGATAAGTAAATCATAGTGATTGTTCGACTTAGTGATTGGTACGTCGTTACAGCGAATATGTAGGGAATGCGTTTTATTACTATTCAGTTGATATTCTTTATTTTATGTCATTAAACTTATGTAAGTACATACCATTTTCTCAAACATGCTCGGAAATGTTTGCATTACTTTCAAAAAACGAACACGGAAAATTTGTTATTTATGGACCATGCTACTTCTTCCCGGCCAAGGCCTGCAAAGTAAGTATTAAAATTCATTACTATCCACTTCTCTAATTTTTTAAACCTACGTACTACCCACTTGGCAGTTGGCTGTAAAAAAACTCATACAGCCAAATGCCAAGTGATCGTAATTGCGAAACTTAAAAATACCAACCTGTACCGCTTTTTTTTTAAAAAAAGGCGGTAAAATAAATTAAAGTGCTTTGGTATTTATTTATAAAGCATTGGCTTCAGAGCCATCAGCTTAATGGTAACAAATAATCAAGAAACGCAGAACGTAATATACATAAACTAAAAATTAATTCGTGTAAAAAATGTAACTACTAAAACCCACCATTTGTTTTTATGGCTTTGGTATTTTTTTCTATTTTTTAGGCTCTTTTCTTGATGTTCGTAGCGAAAATAAGTTCTAGTGAGAAGAACAATAAGGAAAATATAGTAATAGATTCACATTCAACCACATCATCCGAAGTTCAGCAGACTATGTGCCTGGAAAAAGTATGTCAAATATTATTTTGAATTTTAATTACATGTTTTTTACTTTTTCTGTTATACATCTTCTGTTTAATTTTCTGTTATTTCCATAAATTAAAAGACAATTATTTTATTGTTAATTTTTTATTTCATTTTATTTATGAAATAGTGATACAGTATCTTCCTTAGCCTCCAGTTACACGACGCGAAAGCTTTCGTGCGGCCGCCATGTGGTAACCGTCCAGCTACCATGCTTTCACGTACATTAATGGCGAATCTAGAATCATATTTGCATTGAAATTCCTCGCAACAATTCAACCGCGCGGTCGTCGCGTAGACCAAAGATAAGCCAGACTCAATCGCACGTTCGGGACGCGACAGGCGGGGTGCATTTCATTCATTTGCAGCGTGGCGTAATAGCGTGAAGTTAATGTTTGTTTTTGCTCATTTAAGTTAAAACGGAAATGTCAAATAAACGCGCCCTTAGAAAGATGTCTGTGTAGCTGCTCAATATCGAATGAAGGTCATCTTTTGGTAAAAGCCAATAATTCCAAAGATACGAGACATTTGCTTGATATTTAAATTTTTGTATTAGGAGTTTTAAAAGTGACATGTGCCGAATATGTGGCAGTGTATTATTCACGATTTGTTTACAATCAAACAAAGCTGTTTTAGCGCACCATTAACGAACAATATTTAAAACTATATCAAAATTTAAATTCAAGTTAAATGTTCACTTTCTTAATTAGTTCTCTTTTTTCCTTACGTAAATTATAATTGTTTTTAGGAAACTTGTATTTCTGTAGATATTTAGCTAAATAGCTTACCATCTAAACATTAGTGTTCCAGTTGTCACAAATACTTATGCAAAATATTCAGACTCCCACTTTGCAAACATATTACTTTCAGAGTCGTATTCCAGAACTCTACTCAGTGCTCAAGTCAGGACTTGAGTATGATTTCAAGTACTAAATATACGACCCTAATGGCAAGGACTTGAGTACGATTTTCAAGTCCTGACTTGAGTATGATTACAATATTTATTCAACGTTTTACTTTTTACTCAAGTTTCTAATAGGAGCCGATGTTAACCTGTCAGCGCACCTTCGCGAGTAAAGAGCTACGTTTAATTGTTGAAATATTCCAGTTCGGTATCCAATACCACAATAGAATTTTGGTTTAGAACTAAAAAGTGCGACTTTATGATATGGTGTGTAAAATTATAATTGACAGATTAAGTATAGTAGTAGAAAGTAGATAGAAAGAAATAAACATTTATTCGGCTATTCACAAATAACATTAGGACATAATAACAAACATAGGATCTGTTAAAAAACAAAAATAAACGAAGATAACTAATAGATTGGAAATTAAAATAGGCACAATATTAGCCGAAAAGGTTAGCCAGCTCAGTTTTAAGCTGGGCAAAGCCTCAGCGCTGGTTTTAAGCTGGAGCCCAAGAGGAGGTAAATGGTTTCAAATACTTAACATACAAAGGTAAGTGTTTAAAACCAAGAGTAAAATTAAATAAAATTACAAGACAAGTTATAAGATGAATAAACTGTTTAAAAACAAATATAATTATAATTCAAAATGATTCTATAAATGTGCATTGTGCTTTTAATAAAGTTATACATTACAATATAAAAAATAAAAAATGTTCACAATAATAATAATGTCTGAGAAAGACTTGTAATAATTGAGTTAAACAATGAATTTTAATAACTAATATATATGATAGAATAATTTTAAATAACTTTAAATTAGGTGGAAGCTGTCATCGTTTATTTGTTGTATTAATGTTATTTCCTTAATTTATCTACGGAAGACCGATAAAGAGTATTTTATGCAATCGTTCAATAATGAATCTTGAAGTCTCGATTTTAAGACCTAATTATGTAATGATTGCATACAATACTTTTTCTACGAGTAAATAAAATAATGAAACAGAATCAATGTATTATTTACTGTATATTTTGCTAACAATCCATGACAACAAATGCATTTTTTTAAATAGATTTTAACCCATTTATTAGGGCAGGCAAAGGTTTCATACACACTTTTCATATATTTAGACGAAAGCCAAACAAATAGCTGCAAAACAAAAAACTAAAGAGATGAAAGAACTGGCCAAGTACTGCTTATATTTTAATTATAACTAATAATTTTTACAATGATTAAATGGCCCTGTTGCAAGACTTCTAGGATGCAATATAGCGTTTGAATAGTGTCCTAAATATAACAACGAACACACTCAACATAGCTACGCACTAATTGATATTTTAATTAGCAAAAATACGACACTATTTGTTGAAACTCATTAAATTTCCGTGTGAATATTCATTAAAGTTCTGTGTACGATTTTTTAATGAATTTTTTCAGCTCAGTGGCTAGTACTATACATACAATAGAATTTTAATTCAGAACTAAAAAGAGCGCCTATAAGACATGGTTTATGACATTATAATTGACAGATTATGCTACAGGAGTAGAAATAGTTATTCAAAAATTCAATATAATCTTTATTTCGTAGGTAAGCATTATTACACTTGAAATCGTCACAATGGTTAAACTCTACCGCTCATTCGTAAGGCAGATTCCCCTGAGAAGAATGAGCAAGAAACTCTAGGGGTTGCTCTTTGTAAAAACATTTACAATATTTAATTTTTTTTATCATCCAAGTACGCAGAAGTTGTATAATAACCTTTAGTATAAAGTTTTTGTTTCACTATAGCTTTAAACCTCGTGAAAGGCAAATTTTGTATATGAACCGGAATCTTGTCATAGAAGCGTATACATTGCCCCTTAAATGATTCTTTGACTTTGTGAAGACGACTATCAAGAACAGCTAGTTTATTTTTATTCCTCGTATTAATGTTATGTCTGTCACTATTTTTCATAAAGAAATTACAATTCCTTTTAACATAAATTACATTTTCATAAATGTACTGTGAGGCTAGTGTAAGAATGTTAAATTTATCTCTCAAAGATACTTTGGGGCCCAGATTGTAAATTGCCCTAACTGCACGTTTCTGCAGGACAAAGATTCTATTGATATCGGTAGCATTACCCCAAAGCTAAATGCGGTATATATATATTTGTTATGCAAGGCTGCAAAGTTGTTGTTTGACGCGAGTGCTTGTATTGAAACCTGAGCAAGCGAAGGGGGCTAAGATTAGAAAATAGATTCCAGAGCGTAGCGAGGGTTTCAATGCAAAACAACTTTGCTGCCGAGCGAAACACACAACTTTTCAACTCACTATAGAGAGGAAAATGGTAGATGAAAGAAAAGCAGTTGAACTATAAAACATCATTACAAATTTAGAATAAGTTCATTTTTGTTATTGTTATATATTATGACTATATTACCTTATGCTTTTATATCTCAATAAAGACATTTAAAATTCATTCACTCAATCTCAACAGTAATAAGAGTAGAACATACCAACGGATTTATATTACATAAATAAGTAATGTACGACAAGTCGCGTAGTTGAACGTGTCACTTTTTTTTTTTTACGGAAAGATAAAGTTAGGTGCACCGCAGCTCATCGTCAAGTTCGAATTTCAAAAACCTTTTCCAGGCTAGTGTGCAAAAAACACTAGTGAGCCAGCTAGTGAGGTGAAAAATAATAATAATATGGTTTATTTTATCAGATAGATACATAGAAACAGTATAGAGTTTCAATATTCAATTTTGTGAGAGACAGGAGCCTAAACTAGGATACCCTGTGTCTTACTTAGGTCTCCTGATCCTCCATCTTGATTGTACAGTTTTGTTTGGATTCTGGAGCCGTGTTGTCTTTCCATACATCTTTATCTAACACGTAGTATTCAATTTTGTAATATGACTTTTCGATCAAAATATTTTTAATGTAGTTTTTACACTTAGGAAATGATAAACTTAATATATGCTCCGGAATCTTATTGTAAAAACGTATACAGTTTCCTATAAAAGAGTCGTTTACCTTGGTTAAACGAAATCGTGGTACCATGAGTTTGGACTTATCTCTAAGGTCAATATAGAGAGAAACCCGAGAGCCTAGACGGTACACAGAATGAATCGCTCGTTTTTGCAATACAAATATGGTTTGAATATCTGCCGCTTTACCCCACATGAGAATCCCGTAGGACATTATACTATGAAAGTAACTAAAGTAAACTAGTCTAGCAGTACTAACATCGGTAAGCTCAGGTATTCTGCGGGCTGCGTATGCAGCGGAGCTTAATCTACTGGCCAGGGAAGACATATGTGGAAACCATTGAAGTTTACTATCTAAGCTCACCCCCAAGAAGACTGCTTTATTAAGAAGGTCTAATTTTTCTCCGTTTGTTTCTGTGCTTGGACTAGTCGATTTTACGTTAGGTAATTAAAATGTAACACATTTTGTCTTCTTGATATTAAGCAATAAATTGTTAGCATTAAACTAATAAACTTCCTTAGAGAGGGTATCATTAATACGGACATAGTTAATGTCATGTCTGTCTGTTTTAAAAATCAAGGATGTGTCATCAGCAAACAATACTATTTCGCAATGGTCCTTAACAAAGAATGGCAAATCATGAATATAAATCAGAAATAAGAAAGGTCCAAGTATTGAGCCCTGCGGAACACCCATTTTCCCGGAGAACCCCAAGAAGTCACTCCATTTATGTCTACTTTCTGAATTCTACCGTTGAGATATGACGAGACAAGTTCTGATGCCTTGCCATTTCCACCGTAATATAATCCTAATAAAAAAATCCTAATAAGAGTAATATGATCAACTCAATCAAATGCCTTTGAGAGGTCACAGAAAACACCAATAGCGTTCTGAGACCTTTCCCAAGCGTCAAAGATATCGAGTTCTTAGGTTTTCGCGATTGTTACACATACAGGTCCCATGGTCACGGTTGACTGACTGGTCAACCGTGACCATGGGACCTGTAAAGGGCCCGAAACGTCGGTTTGTTTGAAAAAACAAATATACGCGATTTAAATCCGGAAAAATAGTTTCATTTCCTACGTCAAAGATATGTTTTAGTAACGCTACCCCCGCACCGCTAGTCGATCTACCACTAGTAAACCCGTATTGTTCACTATGAAAAACATGATTCCTACCGAAATAGGACAGTAATTGAGTCAGCATAACCTTTTCGAATATTTTACTTTGCTTTGGAATTTATTTTATTTCTTCGTTTTCTGCAGCAAAGATGGCAAGAGGCGAGGGATGTCTTCTTTATAAATCTTTAGTAGGCCACCTATAAGAAGCAGTCTTTGTTGAATTATAGATGACATTTTACTTTTATATCGGTGTAGCCAATTAATATTTCTTAATGCCATAGTCTGTGTCGTAACTATAGACAATCGAGTGCTTAGAGGATGGAAAAAATCGAGTGGTTATCTAATAGATGCTAAGGGTTTTGCTTGTAATCTGCCATTTGTTGTCATCTTTTGGTATTATTGTTGGTCATAGCCAATACCGCTTAGACAGCTGTACCTCGTTGATGTTTGGCGGTTTTGGTGGGAAGACGTTTGTATACGTTTACGTTTTATGTAATACTAGTTATGTAACTCTATCTAGCGTTTACTGTGTCTGAAAGGTTTCATAGTATAATACAGCACTGGAGTGCTGAGCCGTTTCGTTAATATAGTGATTTGTTGACTGTATTCAGTAACTCCTTATTACCGTATCCATTCAACACATTTTGTATGCGTTTGACACGGTAATAAAGGCTTACAATTATGAGATTAAGTGCGCAAAGTATACACTACAAAGATATATAAGTAAATACATGGAACAGATACCAGTAGATAAAGCGGATTGAAATTGGGAAATATTTAAGTGCATATCACAAAACAATAATTAAATAAGTTTCACATCTTAAAAATTATTTCACTACAAATAAAACATCAGAA